TATCGAACTGCGCATTGATACATCTATCAATAACTGCTCATTTGGCTCCAAATTAGCTAAAAAATTACATTGCAGATTTATTGTGCATTAATAATTTTATATCGCTTTTATATTGTTGTGCAAAATCGTTGTTTTTATTAAAACTGAACAGTTTTATTAACATTTGTGTTTGTGTAGTGTTGGTGTTTTTATTCGTTCATTGTGTTTGTTGTTCTGTGTTTTGTTGTTAATCAGAATTATATTCATATCGTGTTTGTAGTTCTACTTTATATATTGATAGTATTCTAATCCAACATGAGCCGGGGACGTGGGACAGGTAACACCGAAGAAAACCGAGGAAGCTGAAAAGGTGGTCCATTTACACGACGGATAAAAGAGGAAGATCCTTCAATTCCCAATTTCAAGCTGCAATTTGCAATCTATATGAAGCCTTGGAGAAAGAACGTGAAATTGGAGAACTTCTAGTTCCATTAAGCAATGTCAGGTAATCATGTATCATGTTTTTTTCTTTCATAGAATCGAAGTTAAATCATTCAGTGTTAGCATGCCATTTAGTCATCACTGATAGTATTTTTAAATTACAGACAAAGAGTTGCCACATATCTAAATATTTCTTTAGATAGTGTGACGAAATACGTAGCCATTGGTGAATCTGGTCAACCCTTTTCTACACCAGGGAAAATTCGACCTCATCCAGCACCAATTCGTGATGCACCAGAAGAAGTTAAGAATGATATTTGTAAATCTCATTTACCAATTTACCAGCAACGAAGGAATGTAACAGTGGAGGAATAGTACGTTTATTAGGTAAGTTTGCACCCTGTTTTCAGCATGATTTTCTCGTTCTTTTTTACATTTTTCATGCTTCGACTACTATATTGCTTATATGCTATTGCTAGACATGTTTATTCTTTCTTTTTCTTTTTCCTTCTCTGCTTTTTCTAATAGAGATAAGAAGATTGCATATAATGGTGGCAAGGAAACGTTACGAAAGATCTTGCCATGATAAAGGATTTTCGTATGAGAAAAGAGATGGCAAGCGTTATGTTATTGAACAACCATACATTGTATTCAAACGATTAAAATTCCTCACAGAGTATAGGGAGAATTTGCAAGTTGCAACAAACGCGAGGTCGTATTTTTTGGATGAAACGTGGACATTCCAGATGGGAACTGGAAAAACCAAAGATTGGCAGTGCGAGGATTTCCGCAGCTGTTCAATAAAGAGTGCTGGAACAGGTTCCCGATATTCAATCTGCATGCAGGAGGAGAAAATGGCTTCATTGAAGGCGCTTCATTATTTTTTAAATACAAAAAGAAGCCGAAGGATGGTGATGACTATCATGGAGACATGGATGCTGCCATGTTCGAGAAATGGTTCTCTGAGCAACTATTGCCCAACTTGAAGAAACCGTCCTTGATAATTATGGATAACGCATCGTATCACAATAAAATGGTATGTATTATCGTTGCCAAAACCTCGCTTACTTTTGTTATTTCGTGTACTTATCATTTTATATAAATAGTTTTATGATTTCCTTTATTTTGTTTACATTTTACAATCAACAGGTTTATTAAAATCAGTGATCATTATTATATTCCAGATTAATCCACAACCTACGACTAATTGGAAGAAGAAGAATTGATGGCATGGCTAAAAGAACGCAGCATTCCTTATAATGAGCATGATACCAATGCTGTACTACTCCGAAAGTGTCAGGCCCCACAAAGAAAAAATCCGGTACAAAATTGATCAACTCGTGGGAAAAATACTCAGCACAAATATCTTCGTTTGCCTCCCTATCATTGCTGCTACAATCCCATCGAGTTGGTTTGGGGAATCACTAAAAGATACCTGGATAAACATATTGGTCGTGATAATGATTTCTCCGAGGGTAATTTGTCTACAATCTGGAAAGAGGCCTTGGCTGTTGTGTGATGCAGATGTGGAGTAAATGCTGTAAAAAAGTGGAAACGGAAATTTTAAGGATTGCTCTCAACAATTGGATAATCCCAAAGGTAAAACAATTAATAATGGATCTAAAATGGATATAAAATGTTAATTTAATACTGACTTTTTATTGTGTTCAGTTTATAGAAGAAGTGAATAGCAGAAATAAGAAAATTAAAGAAGAGGAATCTGTTGACACGGATGATGATGATGAAGATGAATGGGAAGATGTACCGGATGAAGAAACGAAGTCTCAAGATGTTCATGAAATGGATGTAGTACCAGAGCTTCGTGAGATGGAAATAGCTTCACAAGAAACACCCAAACTCGAGAAACAGTCATCAGCTGTATCAAGCATCCTTTCTTGTAAAAACATCTCTTTTTAATGACTTTGACGAAGAAACGGTAAGTTCTATTTTACTATATTTTATGGTTATTATATTTTTTTTCTATTAAATTTTTAGATGGATGAACCATGTTCACCACCTCTTCCAAGATCTCACAAGAGGAAACTGATACTGCTGGCAAATGCCATTGCTGATGAATTGTATTCAATATCAACATCACCTCTTGATGACTATAAGGTAATTTATTCTTTTCTCCCTGATGGATTCATGTCAATTGTTAAATGAGAGTTGCAATAGGTTCATAGTAAACGTAGCGTTTACTCTCAAGTCATTTAAGGGTAACTTTACCTTAAATAACTATAAATCAACCGTTAGAACATTACTAAGAAGCTGAAGTAGCTCTTTAATTATATTGTCATGACTCAGTACTGTTATTTCATGTAATCTAATTGTATTTTATTGTTTCAGGACTGTTTGGGGCCAGACGATACACTCATACACCACGAGGTCAAGATGTCGGTGTATGTACGAGATTTGACGACCTCTCTATCCTCCTGAGTGGTTAAATGACCAGGTGAGTATTACCAATTCTTTATCATCGTAAATTATTATTATGCATGCTTTTAATTCACTTTTTTGTACAGATTATCAATGTTTATTTGGAGATGATAGCAGAAAGGGGGGCACCTTCTATCTACGCCTGTAACACTTTCTTCTTCCAGCAGCTGATGCTTAGAGGATATGAAGGAGTTCAATCATGGACGAGAAAGGTATGCTTTTATACTCATAAACATTTTATCAAACATTTTCATTATTGCTTTTATCACATTCATTTTATTTTTCAATAGGTTCGACTATTCTCCAAAGAGATTGATGATGATTCCCATTCATCTAGGTGCTCATTGGTGTTTGACAGTGATTAATTTTGAAAATAAGTCCATCACTTATTATGACAGCCTTTATAGAAGAAATGAAGCATGTCTTTGTTTGTGAGTATTTAATAATTCAATCATGGAAACAATAATTGTATATACCACAAATGTCTATAGATGTTTATAAATGTAATTTTTTTCTCAGACTATCATGGATTACTTATGCAGAGAGCACGAAGCAGTTGAAGGCAACCTCTTGATCAAACTACATGGACGATGAACCATGCCAAGGTAAGTTTGCTATGAATTATTGAGGCACACTGTCATCCCATATTATAAATCATCATTACTTCATTTTTTTCAGGGAATCCAAGGCAATCAAATGGTTACGACTGTGGGGTATTCGTTTGTGCTTATGCTGAGCACATTTCAAGAGATGAACCGTTCAACTTTACGCAAAGTGACATGAGGCAAATCCGGGGGTCAAATGTTGGATGAAATCATCACCAACAAGATGTACTTCCGGTATTGAAGCGTCACAAACAAGAGGATTGAGCTACGAGTTAGATAATACATCTTGAGAAACCGGTAAGAATCATAACAGCATGCTTATCTAATATTATAATACCAAAATTAAAATATTCATCATAAATTTTATTATTTTTCAGGTGAAACGGATATTGCAGTGATGAGGATGGGTACAGAAGATGGTGTCAGTATTAAACATGTGATTATGTGAAATCGAAACCTTAGAAGCTAAGTATATTTTTTAAATGAAATATTCTGTAAGAGTTAATATTAAGTTTACCGAAATGAATGAAATTGATTTTTGTCATTGGTGTTTTCAGGGAAGATCGTACGAGGTTTTACGGTGCTGAAAGAATATCTGCTTTGAATTATTTCATTCTCAAGAGATTATTTGCAGAGATTGGCATCTGAAAAATCTTTTGCTGGACAAAGATGGTTATATTGAAATCGCTGATTTTGGACTATGTCAAGAAGACATAACTTATGGTGAGTTGTTTCCTGTTTTATTTTATTTATTTTTTGGTTCTTTCTATCTGAAATACTTTGAATAATTATTTCTATAACTTGAAATGATAACTATGTTTTATAATAGATCTTACACTATGTGTTTATTAGGATCAAAATTGTTTCTTAAACCACATGATTAGCAAGAATAATTCCAATGAAGTATTGAATTAATTTCGATATTTTGTCTTTGATTTTAAATTGATTGAACATTTAATTTCTTTTTAATGCATTTTATTTTTCTTGAATAGTTTCTACTTTTCATTAGGAGAGATTATTTGTTATCAATTTATTGATTATTTAATTAATTAATTTTTCGAATATTCAGGACGATCAACAAAGATATTCTACAGTAAACCAGAATATTAAGCTTCAGAAGTTCTAGAGGATAACGATTATGGAGGTGCTGTTGATTGGTGGAGTATTGGTGTTGTGATGTATAAAAAGATATACAGTGGTCTTCCATTTCATAATTGAAATGATCATGAGAAATTATTTACTTTAATTTTTCTCGAAGAAATAAAATTCCCAAGAGCAATATCTAATGAAGCTATAGATTTACTTGGAGGTAAATTATTTGAATTGATATTTATCATGAAATCTGTTATTATCATAAATATTTTAATCATTTCATTTCTTTAATTCATTCTTTCAATAAGAGCAAAAAATGGAAAAAGATCATTGAGTAACGTAATAGAGTTTCGTACTTTTTGTTTATGTTTGTAATAAATTTTTCTTTTCTTACTTCATTACATTATAATTTTTTAAAAACAAATTATGTTAGTATTTTTTCTTATACTTTGAACGCACATAAAGCAAATCATAAAGAAACTAATCGATGGGGATTAAATCTGCAGAAAAGAGATAAAACAAAAAATAGTTTAAACAGTCAAAAAATTTCAGTAATTGAAAAAAAACATTCCATACTCATTTCAATAAATAAAAAAAATTATTTTTCAGAAAAAGAAAGCTAAGGAGTTGAAAAATCTCAATGAAAATGTTTCGAATGGATTGGATCCTTTCGATGATAATGATGATGCCAAATTAAAAGAAGTAGCTCGAAAATTTGAAGCTAAAATATGTACGGTGAAACTTTGAATTATATTATTTGTTTTATTTATCTATTTATTAAATTATATTAATATAATGTGTCATTAGGGACCAACTCAAATGACCGGAAAGAAAAAGAAAAAATATGACGAAGTTGATCTTGGAGCAGGATATGATGAGAATGATCCCTTTATAGATAATACAGACGCGGTGAGTACATTAGTAACAAATATTAATTAAACTTATTATAAATATTAACAATTGTTTAATTAATTTACTCGAATAGTATGATGAAGTTGTTCCTGAAGGAGTAAATACTGCTTACGGAGGGTTTTTATATTAACAGTGGACCTTTAGAATTTAGTGTCAAAGAAACAAATCAAAGCGAAAGTAGTGATGATGATGAAGAAGATCGTCCAGATTCTAAACGAAGAGAAAGAGATCTTGACACATCAGATGATGATGATACTGAAGAAGTTCTCAACGGACCAATAACCAAGGTAAATAAATAAATATTTTAAACAACTTAACATTAATACTTATTATAATATCACCATTTTTACAGAAATTAAAATTAGATGATAACTGTGAAAAGAAATCTGTTTATGATAATGGGGTAAAACGGAAGAAAAAAAATCATGATCATTCACATGGTGATAACTCAATTAGGCAAAAAAATGACAGTATGGAAGTAGACAATAGTTTTATAGAAATTAAGAAGAGAGAAAGAGGCTGCAATGTGATGCATCTAGATCAAAAGAAAAAAAATTAGCGAAAAAAAATATTACAAATGGCACTGAAGAAAAGAAGGTTGAATCAAAAAAATGTTCCGGTAAAGATAATAATATAGATGATGCTATTGAAAGTGTTGTGAATGATGGTAAACTTGATGATGAATCTAGCCGAGACACAATAGATTCTGGTAAATCACGATGCACAGCTGGGACATCATCGGAATGTGAAGATGCTGAAAAAATTGATATTCGTTTACCAGATAATCTTCCAGAAGATGTAAAAGAAATTATTACAAAGCTTAAAAAGCATGCTGAAAATAGTAAAGAAGGAAAAATAAAATTTTTTGGTACTTCTGTTAATGATACATTGTTAAGGTAATCACTTGTTTTAATTATTATTTAGTAAATAACCAATGGAATATTTAATAATATATATTTAATAATAAATAAACAATTGATGGATTTTCAGCTTAGAAAAAAAATTACGCGCTACAGAGTCATCAACAATAAGGTCGCAGGTTTACGGCCACTTAGCGCATTTCTTATCTTGTAGTAAAATTACGCTAGTAAGTCGTGCTAGAAAGCTTTGTCTTCAAGATGCTGAACAAGAGTTAAAGAACCTGTTCAAAGGTATATGTAATAAATCAATTATAATGATATTTATTTTGGACATGAAATATGTATTGTTGCAGGTTTAAAAACGATAATAGATCGAATCGTATCGTCGCAAAGGGATGAAGAAAATAAGAAAATAGCCGATGAAAAGTGAGTATAAAAAAAATTCCGTGATAACTATACTAACCTACTAATCTTAAAAATTGAGTAGAAAATTAAAAATTATAAGTTTCATGAGATAGGCAGCACAGTTGTTGGCAAAATATCAATTTTCGACGTTCTTAATGATAAATCAATGAATAGAATACGTGCCAGAAAGTGTATTTGACATGTCAATTACTGTAAAGCTTATATTAGATTAAAAAATATTAAATATCTGACTTTTAGTGTTTTGGTCTCATATTTAATTGACATATGAAAAATAGTCATTTTTTTTTATTTCTTAGCCCACTTTTATATCGGGAGATATATCGGTACTGTGGGTAAGATGCCCTCAAATAATTTACTTAATTTTATTTATTCCATATACATTTTCAATGATTTACGTAATTTAAATACCTTCATTTGATAAAAATGTTCTTTCAATTTTTGGAATCAAGTTCGCTTATTTACTGACATTGAGATCAATTTTTAATACAATCCAAAGCACTACAACTCCAACGTTTGATCGATTTTCATCTGATTAAATGTAATGTTATTTTTTCAGGCTTATTGAAGAAAGGTATTATAAACGATTAGGTGGAGGTCCAAATGACAGTAAAGACATAATGAAGTTGCGATTATGATGATTATAATTATCTCACTACAATATTATAAATATATTTATATTTTAACAATTAAAAGAATTATCGAGAAAATTTCTCTTAATATTTGTGGTTTTTATTCAAGTTATCTGATTAACCCTATATTCTTATTATAAATATACATTAATAATAAAAAAGCTATTTGATAAATCAAACATGTGCTTTTTTATATTCACCGCGCGGCGTAGTAATACAAGATCCAGCTAGGCGCATGCGCTTATTATTTTAGTTATGGTGGGGGTACTTCGCCCGAAAAAACCCGAAGACGACTCTTTCTCTGGTCCAACCATATCATTTATGACCAGTGGCTCATTTTAAACCTTAAACAATACTCATCAAGCTTTTCAAACTCATTGTCTCTTTGAAGATGTTTTCTAAGTAACTGATGCTACCATTACTCTATAAAGATCGTAATTTAATTGAAGTCTAGTATGACATGATCACAACAAAAGTACTACTTTCACTTACACAGAGAATAGTTATCTCAGATTTATTGTTGTTTTTATCTCTAATTTCAATGACAATAAAACTGATGTGTGGTCAGCGATAATAATAACTTGATACAGATTTTTTCATGGCAAAAAAAAATAACGATATTAAAACATTATTACCATTAGTATGTTTGGAGTGAGTTTAGTATTTTAAGTGACAAGCTTATCCAACTTGGTACGCGGAAATACGCCTTAATACATTGGACAGGAACTGCTGGGCTAGTTTTATAATGCAGTATTATGATTACAGTTAGTATTCGAATGCATGATAAAAATGTGTGTATTTGTATAAATATGTATACAAATGAAGTTGATAGAATTAAAAC